AAAAAGCACTATTAGCAATGCCACCATCAGAGCTGCACACACACACACACACACACACCTACACAGGTGTGCGTATGCAGCGCTTACAAAAATGTACATGCATATTCATATGCTTGTAAATAGCTACCGCAGGTTGGGATTGTACCTAAAGAATGCTCATTTCATTTTCTCTTTAGGCAATTTAAAACACAATTAGCAATGAATTAATGGCTACAACACCATTTGACAAGAGGTTCTGACAAACCCGCTTAATTGTCAACACAGATGCACACATGCCAACATGGTCACGCTAACGTGGATGCAGAACAATTGCCAAAGCAAAGACAATGTTTTAATATTACTGTGAAAATCATTATGAATTATATGAGAGACGGCACAACACAATGCAGGACAGCTGCCGTCGTCTGTGACCATCAACATCTTCCAACACATTTAGGAACATTTTGGTGCAGCCAGTGATTTCTGTCTGTCATTTATCCCTCACTGATGCAACTTGTTGACCACATGCATCTTTTAGTTAAGAAAGAAACATTTTACATATGACTCAGTCAGACCCTAACAAGCCAGACTCGCTTCGCTTGATGAGCAGGATAACGATATCAGCAGGTGGTGAAAGCATTTCCACTAGCAGCGGCATTTCCAAAAGTAGTTGAGTGATGCCAAACATGCACAATAGAAAGGACAAGAAAATAATTAAGAGGAACAGATGAAGGCGACTGAGAGGGTTGAGCAAACAATAGAAATGTAAGCGAACTGTTTTTCGGGGAAAATTAGAAAAGAGAAGCACATATGTTTTCTTATAATTCTTATCATGATTGGTTGACGTGTAACACGACTACAGTTATGACAAAGTAATAAGATTACTATGCTGGCAAGTAATAAGGATGCATTTTTTTTCAAATGTATGAATACTTTGTCATACTGAAGGACCAACAGTTCACAAAGTGTGCATTTTATAATATATTCTGATTAACAAACCTTTAGGTGCTGGAGGTGGTTTCACGTGCTTTCTCTCTATAACCAAACCTCTGCATTGCAAAACCACCTGATTTAGATCTGATCAAAGAAGATGTTATTACCGTGGTTACACAAGCATCTGACCGGTACTTGTGATGGAAATTACATGTTCATGTTTTTTGTTTTATCCCTCCCTGCTCCCTCTGTTTATTTTCTATTCTCTTCCTGTTTCTCTTCATTTCTGTTACCACATTTTTGGAATTATGTAGCTAGCATAAAACAGGTATACTGGTATAATATATCTTGTTTTGGCTTGATAATGGCATCTCCTGCCCTCCTTGACCCTGAGAAAACTGTACATTACGCTATAGGCTCTATCAGCCAGGATCTGCGTCGTAGCTGTGTCATTAAAGCTGAAACAAAAGGACACTCGCTTTGTTGGGCTCATCTCATCACTGCCAGGTAATTACAGGCATCAAGCACTGCTGTGATCCCACACAGTGTTACTGCCCATCAAGCATCATAGGAAAACACAAACACGCACAGACAAGAATCCGTAACACGCAGATGCACAAACACGTGTCCACACAACCAGGCGAAACTGCCTTCTTAGAAAAAAACGCTTGTCAGACAGGTGCAAGACAATTAAATGGTAAACAGTGTGCACTTGTGTAGGGCCTTTCTAACTTAATGGTACTCAAAGCTTTTACAACGTGTTTCTCATTCACGTTCATACACTAACAGCGAGTTCGAGTTCAGTGTCCAAAGATACTCTGACTGTGGAGGGATCGAACCGCCAACTGATTACAATTAGAGGACAACCTGCTCTATCACCTGAGCCACAGTCGCCCACAACTATTACTCAGTATTTATGAAGATGAGCTTCTTGTGATTTACAGGCAATATATAACAATATAAAAATAAGAATACACATTTTAGAGTACATATTTTAAGATAAAAAATAATTGGTTCAGCAGTGTACAATACACTATTGCCCATAAAGTTGGAATAATTTTTTTGTTTACCTTTTCTCATAGAATGATTGTGACAATGCGATTTATTCTTGATAAAGTGTATATCTGATTTCACAATATACGTACAATCACAGTAAAAATGAACTCAATTCATTTTTGCAAACTGTGTATTCAGGCTCAGACAAAATTGGGGATATTGAACAAATAGATGAAGGGTTTTGTTTCAATTTTTCAACCTTGGTCATATAACAGGAAACATGTATTCGAGGGGAATTCATGCATAGGAATGTCCAATATTACTCTTTCAAACGTCCCTCAGTCACTGCTATTGGCCAACCCTGACACGGATCAGTTCATGAAGACATGGTGGCATACTGTCCACAAGCTTGTTGATGGTGTCAACGGGCAGGAAGTCCCACTCTTCAGTCAGATCCAGAAGTCAGAATTGGTTTCACCTGGATAACTGGGACTCAGTATGTAATCATTGCGCCTGGTCAAAAGTGATTACTGATGTGTAGAAATAGAAATAAAAAGAGGAATGTGTCTGAAAACAAAAATTATTCCAACTTATGTAGACCATCCAGCATCATGAAGTGCTTTAATGCACACTCAGCTCTCAACGTTTTACCATTTCAAACAGGAATGAGGAATTTCAAACTGAACTCACCTTTTTATGCCCAAATTTGAGCCGATTCACTGGGCTTCTCTGAGAAGTCAGAAATTAATCAAACACAGCATTCAGCCACTGAAACTAACTTTTCTGTTCAGGTGTATTAACCATTATAGAAGAAAAAAAAAATGAATTTAGGTAATTATCAGTGCCGCTAATATGGGGCAGCTGTGGCATGAACCTTACATTGAATGGTGGTCTGATACATTTGTTAAGCACTGTACATATATATGTATCCATTCACTATCTATACACCGCTTAATCCTCACTAGGGTCGCAGGGGGCTGGAGTCTATCCCAGCTGACTGTCCCACTGAGGTGTGACGGAATTTGAAACTGAAAGTACACGCGAGAAAACTCCCAAGCATTTCCAAACTGAAGGGATTTGCAGGAAAACGTGGTTTAAAAAAATGCAGCCGATGTTAGAAACTGGAGGACAAATATATAAAATGTCTCTGGAGCCTATCTCAGCTGACTTCGGGAGAAGGAAGGGGACACACTGGACAGGTTGCCAGTCTATCGCAGGGCTACACTTAGAGACAGACAACCAAGCACACTCACATTCACACCTACGGACAATTTAGAATCACCAATTAACCTCAACATGTTTTTGTTTGTGTGGGAGGAAGCCGGAGAGCCCGAAGAGAACCCACACTGCACGTGGAGAACATGCAAACTCCACGCAGAAAGATCCCGGTGCTCCCACCAGGACATGAACTGGCAACCTTCTTGCTGCGAGACAACAGTGCTACCAACTGCGCCACACTGTAGCCCATATACATGTATAAAAAGAAAATATTTCTTGGCTCAGTGTCGCATTTTCAACTGTCTTGTTTAACAGTCAACAAAAGATAGATACGATTTGAACATGTATTCTCAGCCCTAAAGGCAGAAAAATGCCTCAAATGATTTCTCAACTTTTATTTTTTTTTATACAATCAACAGCCCTTAACATCTATGTTAAATAATAGAAATTATACACCATTCAAGCCAAATGAGCTCACAAACGCAGTGTCTTTGAAGCATTGTCAGCGTATAAAAGGGTGTAATTTCCCTTTAAAGCACAGAGGGGAAAATTGCAGAGTGTGGAGAATCAAGCAGATGACCAAAAAAAAAAAAAAAGAGAGACAAAATAATAGGGGCACTGAGAGAGAAAGAATCAGACCTGGGCAGCTGTCAGCGGTTAAATTTAGTAATTGATCCTCCTTAATAACCAATGACAGCAGAAAACCACAGGGCAATTCACTTTAATACCTTAAAGAGCTGACAGAGTAAACACTCACCGCTACAAGCACAGACACCAGCACACATAACACACATGCCACCGACTTTATAAGTAGTTTAGCAGCGAATACTTCTCCAGTCAACTTAGTATCACATTTCCTCTTTAAAACTCAAGTTTCTGCTGTCGCTCCACCTACTTTCACAAACTCCTTCTGAGATGCGCAGCAAAGTCAAAAAAAAAAGAAAACATCAAGTGCACACAACCACACACACACTCTGCTATTCTGTCTGTCTGTCTCTCTCTGGCTCACACACACACACATGACACACACACAATGCAAAGCTGCACTCTAAAAATTAAAGCTGTTCAAATGGATTTGAGGCAGAACCATGAGAGCAGAAGCTTGGTTTGGGGGTGTGTATGCAGATATGATTAGCTGAATGCATTTGCCCAAGTCTGCAGAACTGAGGGTGGAACTCCCTGGGAATAGTTCAGAATGTGTTAAGTTCTTTTTTTTTTGTGAGTGGGTATATGACGGTGACATAATACCATAAATAATTCATGATTTACGTTTCAGACTCAAGACGTGTTTGTCATAGAATAAATTCGGGCATGAAAACATGAGGATTAATTGCCTCACCTCTGACAAAGTAGATAAGATGCTTCCCACATACAATTCAATGTTTCGTTACTATTATACATCTGTAGGCACATTGTGATGCCTCAGCTGAGCTGCAGATTTGTTCTACTGAGAATGACGATTTGGACTACAGTGCCACAGGGTTTCCTCCAAAAGTATTAGCCTCATCTGAGGGGGTAGCACAGAGCCTTTTAACGCATTCTTAGCCCAACACAACCTGACAGGCAAGTGAATTATGGTATATTTTTATCTGCATACTTTGGCAAAAAACAAGAAAAAAAACCCAAAAACATTCTGTGTGTGTTGAGAGTGGTGGACTACACACAATGATGATAAAGAATTGTGCATTAATTTTTAAAAGAGAAAAGACTGTTCAGCCTCCTCAAGCTAAACAGCCTCCCCATCTGTCCCCTCTTGTGTTTATAGAGGCCCTTGTCATCTGTTGAGCCTTTTATTTATTTTTTCTTATTGCAGATCAATCACACAAGCATTGGCATCTGGAGGATGGAGTTATTTTCAGTACATACACACTCACCTGTAGGTTTGGATCCTCATTGTGCTGTAGGTGGGCTTCCTCCGCCGCCTCTACCAGTCTCTGCAGGAGAAGAGGAGAAATATAATAGCTTTAATGCGAAAGCCAAATTGATTAGTGGGTCAAAAATAATAGGCGACGAAGCGTACATACAGAAAGTGGCTTTACAACCGGCTTTATAAGTACCCTTTAGCGCTAGAGCAACACCATACCCCTGAGGACACACACATGCACAGATAGCAGACTGACATTTGGCCATCTCGAGAAAAGAAGCTATTTTCCTAAATGGTTCAGCAGTAGAGGTAATAACTGCCTCGGGTTCTTTGGACACTATGACAACAAACTCCATCATCGGTCCATGCTGTTTTACACATGCAGTCTTTCTCTCACACACTCGACAACATGCATACACACACAAACACCCACCCACCCACACACACACACACACACACACACTCCATCATCAGCCTCTTGCTGCTACTGTCTGCTGTGTAGGCCTGGAGTGTGGTGTGGGTAACTGTGTACCTTTGAGTCAGCATTCCGCTTTCTTTCTCTCGCTTTTCTGTTTCCCTCTCACTTATGGGAGCCATCACCGTTTGAAAATAGCTGTTCGTCAAAAGCGTGATGTAACTATCTTCTAATGAAAGATATTCACGGAGGACTGTAAGGTGAGTCAAAGATACTGAACTCACAATTTTAAATTACGTTTTTTTTTTGTTTTTTTTTAATAAATAAATAAAAGCAGGAAATCCTCGTTTGTTAGGAAGATGGAGCTGCTGAATGTTTACCAGTTTCACTTCTCTGACAAATCATTTCAGCAACAGTGAGCGTATGTGTGGAAAGCTGCTTCAGAAAGTATTAAAACCTTGTGATTTTGGCAAATTTTGTTGTGTTGTAAATTTTAATTAATAAAATTGACTTTTTGGCCCATCAGTTTGCACGTAGGGAACTAGTAATGGCAAAGTAAAAAGATGGAGTTTTTTTGTTTGTGTTTTTTTCAGCTTTTTCTTTGCAAATTTATTACAAAACAACGACTGAAACCTCTTACTTGCAAACATACTCAGATCTATAATCCAGTACTTTGTGGAATCCCCTTTGGCAACTTCTGGGGTAAGTCTCAACTGGCTTTGTATACCTGGATTTGGGCAGTTTATCCCTGTCCTACCTGGCAGATTCTGTCGAGCTCCGTCAGATTGAATGTGAAGCATTTGTGAACTGCTATCTTCAGGTTTCTTCACAGATGCTCTACGTAAGTCTGGTAAGTTTGGCTGGTCCACTAAAGGACAGTCAGAGACGTGTCCTGAAGCCACTTGAACGTGGTCTGGACTATGTGCTTCAGTTCACAACTGTGCTGAAAGGTGAACCATCTCCCCAGTCTCATGTTACCTGCACTCTGGAGCAGGTTGTCTCCAAGGACCTTTCTGTATTTGGTTGCATTCATTCTCTCCTTGTCATTGCTGGTGAGAAGACCCCCATGGTGCGTTGTCCTTTAAATGCCATTTGAAAATCTCCAAGTGCTGCTGTCAAATGGGCTATCATATGTCTTCTACTCAAAGGTTGTCTTCTTCTATCTAGTCCCATAGAAGCCTTACAGATAAAGTGCTGCTGAGATCCTTCCAGCAGGTTCTCACATGGCAAAGGACTTCGATAGTGACCACCTCCCTGACCAAGGACCTGCTTGTTCATCTCCCAAAAATTCTATTCTGATAAAACTAAACTCCACTTTCGATTATGTTCTAATGGATTACATATGTTTACTTCAAATTAACATATCTTAGTCATTTATTTTAGTGCTTTACTGTTGCTTCTTTCAATCCAACCAATCATGAGGTGGGACTCATCACCCTGGTAACCCAGAAAATGAAAGAAGCTTTAAACAAGTTGTGACAGTGTCTTATTTTTATTTAAACCATGATTTTTTTCCTAAGCTAATTGTGTAGTTGTGGTGCCTAAATTTAACCAGCATTCTAGCTAGTAGTTATTATTGTAAGTGTGTCAACCACAGTGTGACATTTTCCTAAACCTAACTATATAGGTTCTTGTGCCTAAACATGACCAAGTAGTTAACGGAACCCAAAAGCAAAAGAGTGAAAATTAAACTAAAGAATAACAACCCCACTGGTCCCACAGGATGTGAGCCCTGATCTCCTGAGTGAAGGTCAGTCACTGACATCCTCCTCCCACCTTACAGGGACGGTGTGACTTTCTCAAACTGGAAGCCTTTACTGCTACAAGTGTAGAAATACACCTACTTAAGAACAATCGTTTCTTACAATTAATCCTTATAGCGTACATTAGAATTGCAGTAGTAGTACAGATTAGTTTAATGGAGACAGGGTTGCTAAGTTTGACCTGACAGCCAATTCTAGCAAGAGTCGGATTCAGACTTCTTCCTTTTTACAATCATGGAGGACTATGTGCTCCTAAGAACATTAAAAGTTTCAGAAGGGGTTTTACCCTTGCTCTAAATTCTGGTTGACCACAATTTTATCACGAAGGTCTACAGAGAATTTTGTAAACTTCATGACCTAGTCTTTAATTTATATCATGAATAGTAGGAGTTTATGTACAATAGTGTTTGGTTTTCTAAACAACGTCCAAGTCATTCAGTTTGTCACTGGAGAAAGAAAGTCAAACTCTAGACAGAACTAAAGGATGATTAAATTGAAATTAAAACTACAACATAATCCATCCATTTTCTATACACCGCTTAATCCTCACTAGGGTCACAGGGGGCTGGAGTCTATCCCAGCTGACTTAGGGTGAAGGCAGGGGACACCCTGGACAGGTCACCAGTCAGGGATATACAACGACAAACAACCAAGCACATTTACAATCACACCTATGAACAATTTAGAATCACCAATTAACCTCAACATGTTTTTGGACTGTGGGAGGAAGCCGGAGAATCCGGTGAGAACATGCAAACTCCTCCCAGAAAGATCCCAGGTGTCCTAACCAGGAATGTGAACCAGTCCTAACCACAGAGCCACCGTGCAGCCCACTACAACATAATGAAATGTCCAAAAAGCAAAACAGTCAGAATACTTTCTAAAGTGACTAGGATCTGTGTGTTAATGAGTGTCAGGTGCAGTAGATGGCCTCTGCAGTCCCAGAGTGAGTTTCGTTCCACACTGAAATATACAGCTATACACAGAATGATACATACTGTACATTCACATCTTTGCCTGTATCTGAACCCAAAGTGGGCGTAGAGAGGCAGATGATTTTAGAGACGTTCTGACATTTGTTTATGCTGGAGATGGTCAATATGGTAAAGAAGCAGCAAGAACAGTACAGCAGCATGCATTATATTTTTGCTAAGCAACAACAGGAGACGGGAGGCAGCAGAGAGGAATCTGATTTGCATATGATGGATGATTCACGGATAACCCTGGAGTTTAGCGTCTACACTGAGTCCAAGATATTTTAGGTTGTTGACCTGTCCACCTGTCTCACCAGTGGGTTAACCCCAGTGAGGGATGTGCCAATGAGCAGTTGTTTAAATGTGCCTACTTTCAGCTAGAGGAATTTGTCAGTGCACTATTCCGTTAAATGGGAAGTTAAGAGTTGATAGGCTTTTACACAGTTATTATCATTAAGTAGTCTAAGTATAGCTGAGGATTGAGAACTGATGGCACAGCCTTGAGGAGCTCTGTGGTTGGTGATGATGGTTTAAAATATAACTGTGCAAGCACTTACAGCCTGTGGTCTCATACAAGGAAATTGTTGGTTAAAAATTCTAAAGTATAATTAATGGTGAATAGCACCATTGAAAATCGCTGTGACTTATAAATGACAATCAGGAACAATTCCAGAGAGAGATTTTTTCATAGCATCTGAAGCAACCTTTTGCACCAATGCTTTTTTTTTTTTGTTTTTCAAAATATATTTAACATTTTGTAAAGGTTTTTGAATCATTTCCTCAGTCCAGGCTAAAGGTGAAGGAGCAGAAAGGGGATTTTTGAGTCCTGGGTGTCAGCTTGACTCACAGGGATCTCTCACACAAAAACACTTCTGTTTCCTTCCAAATGTGACACGCATGGCATGTTCTCATTGCAAGTAATTTCTCTCTTTCACAGCTGGTCCTGGTGTCTATGAATTTTGGTAATGGACTTCCATTTCACATTTCCATTCAAATGGCTTTAAAACTACTGCAATCAGCCAGCTTATTTCAGCTGAGCCATGTGTTGGTGTGTGTGTGTGTGTGTGTTGTGCTGCTGCCGTGTGTGCAGCCAGGCTGTTTTGGGAAGCGAACACTGTAATCTAGAGTCTGGCCAATCATTTTCTTCACCATAGCAACACACCTGGCCATTGCATATTGTTGCATATCATTGTGCTTTTGGTTCCATTCAGCTATTGATTCATGTATACATTTGTTCCGCTTCCTTCCTGGTGCCTAAGAGGCTAAGAGAGAGAAAAACAAGGTAGACAGGGCCTGGACTTCTTCAGATTTTTCTAAGAATGAGCCAAAAAGCTCTTATGTGAAAGCATGAGGTGTGTGCGCGTGCATCCGGGCATTAAGAGGCACCACAAAACCTCAGGTGCATCCGCTGGAAATCCACAACAAAGCACACTCTAGGAGCAAACAAAGATAAGGACGGTGGTGGAAAAAAAAAGGGAGGATGAGAGAGGAATGAGAGACTAACATTCTCTAAAGGTCTGAACACTTAGCCTCACACTCCCGACAAAATGTCAGACGCTGCCTGTGAAGCCAGCGTCAATAGGAACACACTTTTTAGCATTTGTGAGTGGCTAATGGCGTGTTTTTGTGTGCGCATGTGGGAGTGTTAATCTTTTTCTCAGATGACATGGGCAGGTATTAGCCCTTTGACCTATTCTACCGATCTATTCGCAAAAGTCAGTAATTAAAGGCGTGAGTATGCAAGTATGCATGTATGAAGTCTGGCTGAATTTAGGTACATGAATGCACCATATATGCCAGTGTACACATATGAGGCGGCCTGAACATTTTTGCACATTGTGAAATATTTCTCTCCTATGACTCAAAATTGAGCCTATTAAGCTGTCACATGCAAGAAACAATTGGCTTTAAGTATTGC